ACTGCAATGCACAGTAACACACAATCTGTGGTGCAGTGCACTGTGGTGCCATACATTTTTAGTGCATTCATGCATTTATGTGTAATCTTATCTTAACCACTTTACGACGTTAGGACGTTCCATGCTGTCCTGGAAAGCATGGGCTTTAAAGACATTAGGGCAGCGTGGTCCTAACTTCTAAGCCCCTCCGTTCCCCTTCCCCCGCATAGTTATCCGCCGGGATCCGATGTGGAGACTTAACTGGCAACTCAGGTAATCCCCAGGATCCAATCTGCTACAATTTTGGTCACGTGATTGGTGACAACCAGTCACTGCAATCAGTGATACATTGTGACAGCCAATGATTCGAATCATTGGCTGTCAACACTGCCTTTGCTTCTCTCCTCAGTGTGATCTAAGGTGAGAAAAGTAGACAGATCAGTGCTACTAAGGGGTCTATTCACTATGCTGCCGAGGGCAGCCGAGTGAATGACCGATCAGAAGTGAAGTGAGCCGTACACTGTTCGGTTATTCACTTCAGGCTGGGACGGCTGATTTCAGCCGTACATCGGCTGAAATCCGCCGTACATCGGCCTGCTTCGTGTGGCTTCGGGTCGGCCGAACATGCTCAGCATGTTCGGCCAACCCGAAGTGCAGAAGGAGTTCGATGCATATGCGATCGGCTCAACCGAGCCGCTCGGCCATGATCGGGAGCTGTACGGGCTATTGTGAATAGACCGTACAGCACCCCCTCGGTTCTCCTGAACCGAAGGGGTCCTGGGGCCGAAGCTAGCCGAAGGATCGGCCGAAGCTACGGCCAGATCCCTCGGCAGCTTCGTGAATAGACCCCTAAGTGTCAGGCAAAGTAGTCAGTGAGGTATAATAAAATAAAAAAACTTTATAAAACAATCATAATAATTAACCCCTTCATTGCGGATCAGTTTTATAACTTTGATCAGTACAATAGCACTGTTCAAGATTATTAGGGTGTATTTTTTTCGTTAATTGTACCTATTTTTTAAAAATAATTTTATTGTAGAAAAATTAACTCCTTCAGTGCTGATCACAGTTTTATAACTGTGATCACTTTGATCAGTAAAGTTGTACTGTTCTGCATTTTCAGGTGTGATTTTTGCATTTTCTTAATTATAATTTTTATTTTGTTAGTTTTATCCATTTTTAATTCTTTTATTTTAAAACAAATTAACCCCTTCTGCGCTGATCACTTTTTTATTGCTGTGATCACAGTGATTAGTACACTGTTCCGCATTTTGGGGTGTTTTAATTAAAATTCTACCCTTTAAGTTTTTTTTTTACCCTTTTACGTAGTTTCTGATCACAGTATTTTGTCTAAACTGGTTTTTGACTCGGCTTCTCCTGACGTTGCTTTTTGATTGCCACCTGCCCAAGTATCCTGGCATACAAACAAAATTGACTTTTATATTATGGCACATTACTATACTGCAGAGGATGCTTATGCCATACTAGCCCATGATTCAGAGAGTGACACCTTTCCTGTTTCTGATAGTGACACAATAACAGCATCTATAATAGCGTCCCTAAGTCAGGTTTCCAGTGATGGTACTCCCCGCCTACCACCATCTAAAAGGAGGTGTTCAGAACATCCAATACTCCCGGCCAAACATTGGGTGCCCCCAAACTTAAATACCTCCATTTACAGCAACTCCTGGCATCACAACCAGCATTCCAGTTTGTGAGCAAATAGATTTAAAACTTTTACTGACTGACATTATATTTGATATGACTACTCAAACAAATGTATATGCCAGCCAGTATCTGTTAGGTAATCCAACTTCACACTATGTTAGGAAAAACACCTGGCAGAAAATAACAAGTTTTGGGCACTAACCATGGTAACCTACGTTCCTGTTGGCACAAACACCTCATCATGGCTACCCCTCTTTTTACAGGGATTATGAAGAGGGATAGATATGAGAAATTGCTGCATTTTCTGCATTTTAACGATAATACCCAGTGCCCTCCTAGAAATGAACCCCTGGTATGAAGGCTATACAAGACACGGCCACTGATAAAACACCTATCTGGAAAGTTTGCAGAAACTTGCATTCCTGACCAGAATATCTGTGTGGATGAGTCCCTCGTGAAATTTAAGGGAAGATTGCTTTTAAAGCAATGCATTCCATCAAAGCACTTAAGGTATGGAATTACATTTTATAAACTGTGCGAATACAGTACAGCCAATACCTGGGCATTTAGCATTTATGAGGGGAAAGACCGCTATTTAGATTTAGATCCACCTGGTTGGCCAGATTCTATGCCACAAAAAATGGCAAAATTGTTTGTGATCTCTATCCTTGCTAAAAAAAAGGTCATCATCTATGGGTTGACAACTACTATAGAAGTATAGATTTATTTAAACATTTATTTTATTTTGAAACCCTCGCTGGTGGCACAGTGCGCACAAATTGTGCAGCTTTTCCCCGGAAGCTTACACATGGCAAAACCCTCAGAGGCACAACATCAGCCTTACAACATGGCCCTAAAAAAGAAGTGTACATGCTGTCCACCATGCATGATGAAGGTACAGTGCCAGTGTCTGTCAGGGGAAAGGATGCAACAACCGAAGTGCATTGTGGTATACAGCAAGTATATGGGGGGTTTAGATTTAGCGGATCAGTCTAGTACATATCTAGTACACTGCAAGAGAAAGACCTGGAACAAAAAAATTGGCCATATACCAAACCCAGATGGCAGTATTTAATTCCTATGTGCTTTACAAAAAAAGCACAGGGAAGCCTTACACTTTTTTGGAATTTACCTAAAAATTGTTTCTGATATTTTGTTTCATCAGCCCCCTAATCCTCGCACATTTCAATAAGAGGATGTCCAGAGACATTGCGGCAGGCACTTTCCTTGCAGGATCCCCCAGCAGCCTGCAAAAAGTCACCCCAGACAAAATGCAGTCTGTTACAAAAAAGGAGTTAGAAAAGGTTATAGTTACTATTTCCCTTCCTGTCCATCTCTACCAGGCCTATGTATCACAGACAGTTTTCAGAGTCTACCATACACAGGTAGACTATTAATTCAGATTATTCTGTATGTGACTTGATTTATTGGCGATTATTCTGTGTACCTGGGCTTGTCCTATACCGACTACTTTGACTTCTGGATCCCCTGACCTTGGCGTGTCCCCGTTTTCATTAAATCCACAACAGGGCCGTAGATAATTTTTTTCCCTGGGGGGGGGGTTCAGCTTCCTCAAATTATAAGACTACACATTAAAGTGATATTAAAGGCAAATTATTTTTCCCTGCCCCCCATGTAAATGTTAGCACTTACCTTAAATGATGTCTCTTATTCTGGTCTTCCTCTTCTTTCCCCATGTTTTCATGTGTCCCTCCAGCGGTGCGGCGTCTCTGCGATCCAGCGCTGACTGCTCTGTCCCTCCGATCCAGCGGTGCACGCGTCCATAGACTTACCCTGCGCGGGAGCGAGCAGCGATAACGAGGTAAGTTTAAAATGATTTCAAGCGTTTTTTTTGTTTTTTTTACACTTCTTGCCTATATCTACTGCTTGCTAGCAGTAGATATAAGCAAAAAAAACGGAGGGTTTAGAACCCCTTAATGTTAAACAGCCGGGAGTATGTGCCCCCCTCTGCCCTCCCCTCGCTAGCCACTGCCAGGACACTCTGGGGGGGTTTGAACCCCCCTATCCCCCCCCTTATCTACGCCCCTGCATGGGGGTACGGTTATATTTTGTTAGACATTGCTCATTACAAATATTGGGGCTTTATTACAGTAACACATATAAGGATTATGAAATATCCTGTGAAAATGGAATTTGTGTGTGAAAAGCACAGATAAAAAAATAAGCTTCTAAGGGTGGCCGGCATTTGTGATAAAGTGGCTATACAAAAAACTCAAAATACCCTATTTAGGTGTACGTTTAATAAACTGTGAAAGAGTGTGATAAGCAGTGAGAAGGCTTTTCTCACCTTAGCAAAGTGAAAAGTCTAGAAAATGCTGTTTAATAACCCGAGATAAGTCAGGTAGGAACAGAAATATCTCACCTCTTCTCATCCTGGTGATAAGTACACAGAAAGTAATGGAAATGTACCTGTTTAATAAAGGGAGAAAAGTAGAGAATAGCTTTATCACGAGATAAGTATTGTGCAAAGTACCCTTGATTTAGCACCCTGTCAGACCTGGTGCTAATAGCCTTTTTCTCGAGAAGCACTGAGCAAAGATACAGGAACCTCCTCCTCTGTCACTCAGTTCTTCTCTGTTTCCAGTCCTGAGGAGAAGTTTGAGTGGTATGTTCTATTCAGAGCCTAGTGCTATTCTATCCAGCTGTTACCATATTAAACGTACACCTTAGAATGCTCTGGGTGTTGAAAAAGTATGTTATTATGGAAAATATTTCTTTCCTACGCTGTCATAATGTCTCAAAAGCAACCTAGGCCCGGAAATGCAATGTGCCAAAATTCCATGGATGATGACCAAAACGGGCAAGCCCCATATTTGGCCCTGTAATTCCCATAAACCCTATTAAACCTGTACATGGTTGTACTCATGGGACATTGTAGTATACAATTATGGGTGTTTTATTGCAGTAAAATGTGTCAATATTATGATAAATGTGTGTGTGCATGTTTGGAAAAAAAAAAAATTCTTAATTTCTCATAATTGGTTAGATTTTATGTATATATAATTACAGTCAAAGGAAAGCCCTATTTGTCCTCTAAAAACAATGTATAATAAGTGTGGGTGCACCTAAAACAAAAGAGGTAAATTATGGTTAAACAAACATATAGCTCCAATTCTATATTTTGTTTACGTTCTGAACTTGTACAATTGCCTCCGTCCTTAAGGGGTTAATTACAATAGAATTTTTACTTATTTGAGAAATGCATACCCATCTGGTTTGGTCATTTATTTTGAATGACTCATTATGAGTTTAGTATAACAAAATAAAAGCAATACAAAAAAACGGACAAAACTAGTATTTCTCTACAGCATAGCACACCAATGACTATGTACCCTGGCTTTGATGATTGTAGGTCTCGGATCCAGGATTCCCTGCATCTTTCTTAGTGCTGGTACGACAAAAAGATTACAGGTAACTACTGCTGACACAGGGTTGCCTACAAAGAAGCAAAAGAAAATAATTTAATCAGGATTTAGCCTTTAGTTAAAAAAGAAACATTACCCTTTAACACTTTGACAGAAAAACCACTAATATGGCAGTACAAAAGGTGAATACATTGATTTTTCCTTTAAACTTGTTATTGGCTTGGTAATCAATATATGCACTGTAAAAGATATTCAACCTTCTCGCATCCTTAGTAGCTTATCTAAACATTATGCAATTACTGTATTTGTCAAAATACTAAGAGAAAAGGGGGGAAGTCTGTATACCAAGCAACTGACAAGACTTTACAGTGTATGACAGACAGGTTAAACAGAAATATAACAAATTGTCACAATACTTCACCCCAGAGGCATAACTAGAACCTTCAGGGCCCCGATGCAAGAAACCCCCTGCCGCCATGGCACTGTGTGGTTAACAGAATGGCTGCCGAGGTCCCCAGCAAACGCGGGACCTCATGTTCTGTCGGGAACACCAACCCAGTATCTGCGTGATCTGCGGGATTAACGAGGAAACAGGCATTTATTTACAAATTATTTGTTTGTAATTGTTAATTATGACTGGTAATAATATGCCGCCCATGGCAGTAAATGATGGATGGCATATTGTTAACGATCACAATTAACAATTTAAACTAAATGCTTTGTAAATAAATCCCTGTTCCGTCAATAATACTGGTCTGTGCGCAAGAGCAGATGCTGAGGTCGGCAAATTCGACAACGTCGGCGTTCTCGACAGAACACCGGTATCTGTGTTTAGTATCAGTACTCGTGAAAATGCCCAGTATTAGCACTAGTGCATTCCTACTTAAAAATATAATGCATTGCAGGGACTTGCAGTCGTGCATAGTTGGTGCTATTCTGCATTGCTGTATAATGATTATAATTAGAATACCACCAGCCATGCGGGACTACAATTCCTAGCAATGCATTATAACATTATAATAAAAAAACAGCACTGCAGAATACCACCAGCATTCCCTCCCCCCCCCCCCCCTTTCC